AAATGATTGCAAAGACAGAAAGAGATATATCCTCATTCTTTTATAGTCCTGAAACAGCTCCACCTAACGGACATCTTGGCAGACTAGGTGAGGGTAATCCCTTCACTCGCATAATTTTTATTAAGTGCTCAAAAGAATATTTTAAGTAAACCTTTATACACTTCTTTCCTTTCCACTTGGTTTACGAGCGTATCACGTTGAAACACCCGTTCTCGTACGATCACCGAAGTTAAGCAACATCGAGCTTGGTCAGGACCACTTGGGAATATCAGGTTGTAAGTTTGAATGTGCAGCTGGTGTAATGGATAGATGCTCGGAATTTTAAATCAGAGAACTGAGTTCCAGTCGGGATCATTATAGTCACTTATGCGCAAATACTCATGGGAAACGTATGAATCCACCTCTACCCCACCCAGATAAATCATTATCATCTCCCAAGAACTCTTAGAATCTAAAAAAAAAATTCCTAGTTTTAAATAACGTGCAAAAAGTTTGATAAGCCGTAAAACAAATCAACCAATCAATCTTTCCCACGTAAATCTATTGTAAATAAACAAATTCTTCCTGTTCAATTTTACATCGAATGTGAATAATTTTTTTCCCTTCTGCACCTCATGATCCACTAATTTTTATCTATATAGAAATAGTTTCAATTATATATCATATTCTTCCATAAATATAATATATGAAATATTAATATATGTATATATATATATGTGTGTGTGCGCGCGCGTGTGTGTTTGTATGTGTGTGTGTGTATACAAATTTCAGATAGAGCATATCTGTAAAGTTTTCCTTTTAGTCTTTATCTGTTGTGACCAAGTAAATGGTTAAAGAAATAACAAAACAAGTGTTACAGATATATCATATATTAAACAGTAAGTACAACAGAAGAGTATTACACGACTAGCGAATGTGTGTCGGTTGACCCAGCGTTCAATCTATTCGACTATTCCCCCCCAAGGCCTTCTCTCCTACTAATCTTATAGTAGACGGAAGAGTCCAACATAGACCCTTTAGAAAGAGGACACCACAACATTATCTATATATAGGTTGAGTATCCCTTTATCCGAAATTCCCAATTCCGAAAACCCCCATAATCCGAAAACTTCCAAAATCCGAAAGTTTTTCAGGTGCTGACATGACTTAACAAAAATGGAAATTTTCAGAAAGCACTGGGAAGGTTCCTAGATGATGTGCAGCTTATGTAAGTGACCTCATCTGCCTTGGGTGGGTGTTCCCCACCCCACTACGTAGCCTACTGTTGTAGAGTAGTTTTCACAGTGGAGGCTTGTATTTCACCGAGTCGGTCCGAAAAAGGTTCGACGTACAAAACGTAAGGAACTTGAAATAATAGTTAATGACGCACCAATCTAGTTGTGGTGGTTGATACTTTAATGTCCGACATCGACTGACTCAACCAACTCACTGAGCTCCCTGGCGACTGCCACTACTACTACTTATTATATGTGGGAGAGTCTATTTACAATAGAATAGGTATGTTCCGGTATAACACCTACGTTGGCGCCATTTTATTGTTATCGATCCTCACAGCAATACCTTCGTTCGTGGATTACTTATCAGGTGTTTCGCGCTCAGTAAAGATATTCAAAATATCAAAATACCCTGCATTTATATATTTTTGTAAGTAGTAATCATGTATTTTGTACACGAACAGAAAGTGCAAAACATTATTTTTACGTGAAATTTCAACACTTAAAAATCCGTGTGAGTAGTACATGACTAGCGTCGTTACCTGTATTTGTATGTACACAAAATTTACTAAATTTTATATAAAACTACTTTCTGAATGTGTTACTTATATAAACCTACCTTCATGTTATATGTATAAGATGTATTATGAAATGTAAAGGGATATCAACGCCTCAAAAACTAAACTTCTCTCAATTTATCATCTAAGAGACCCCTCTCTGCTTTCCATCCGCATGGCTGATGCTATCCTCCAGGAAAGTGATTCATTGCACCTTCTTGGGCTAACGTTCTCAGATGACATGAAGTGGAAAGACTATATTGAACCCATTGCTAGGTCAGCTGCTACGAAAGTCATTTCATTGTGTCGAGCGAAACAATTCTTCTCTCCTGAATCTATCTTGCATAGCTATAAGTCTACTATTCATCCGTGATTAGAATATTGCTGCCAATTATAGTCCGGTGCCCTTGCTATTTACCTTTAGCTCCTTGATAAGATCCAAAGATGAATCAGCAATATTATTGGTCCTGATCTGGCAGCTCGGCTTGAGTCACTTTCACATCGCCATAAGGTTGCCTCTCTGTGCCTTTTTTTTTACAAATACTTTTATGGTAATTGTTCAGGCGAGCTCTTCGCTATGCTATTTAGACTGTATGAATTTAAGCGCAGTACTAGACTGGCGTCGAGATCTCATCAATTTACAGTTGAACTAGCTAGAAGTAGCCGTAACCTTTATGCTAACAGTTTCTTTTCTCGCACTTCTCGCTTGTAGAACTCCCTTCAGGCTCCATGCTTTCTAATCAGCGATTGACATTGCATTTAAATTTTTGCAGATTAAAGCTATCTACTGTCGTCCTGATTACTCTTTTCTCTTTCTACTCATTACTAATGATTCTGTTCCTAATTTCTCTACATCTTGTAACCCCTTGCGTGTTAGTGGCTGTGCTGCCTTGCTTGGGGTGACCCCGATTAAAGAAATATCGTGTTTATGCTTCGGTTCCATTCCCAAGCTGCCGTATTTTATAGATGCTATATACAAATTAAATAACCTGTATTCCAAAATTCAAAAACGTCTGAAAAACCGAACCACTTCCTGTCCCAAGAATTTCGGATAAAGGAATCTCAACATAGGGAAATTGTATAACAAAATGAAAAAGTTACTTGTGAGGCGTTACGTTCTTCAGGACTTCATCGGACTAAATTTGTTATGTTCGTAGGACTACACATCCGCACGACAGAGGGATACTGGAAATTTTAGAATTTTTTTTGTATAGCCGAATTCATTTAGCATCTTTTTCTTTCCATCACTTTTGTAAGTAGGTATTCCACACTGGGATATTAGATCAACCAGGAATGGTGAAATGTTGTAAGTGCCAGGGCGCAAATTTACTGTAGATGAACTTGCGATTAAGGTACTCGCTAGACATTTGCGGCTTCTCTCTTTTTTTTAATATACACACTTTTCTCTCGTAATAAATAAATTAACGGCTAAACATTCTCTTCCCTATTATGTTTCCTTTAGCAAAAGTTAATAAGCTTAATGTTAAATCAATTCCGGTTTTCTACTGTTGTTTTTGATAATTCAGTTACAACAGTTTGGCAATGAGGATGAGATCAAACTGTTGTAACTGAGTTGTCAAAAACAACAGTAGAAACCCGGAATTGGTTTAACAACAAATTTATTACCTTTTGGTAGAGGGAAACATAATGTAGGATAGAAACTAGGGAAGGCAATGTTTAGCAGTAAATGACTGTTTTCAGCAAAGGCTACTTCTGCTACTGCTCCTCCTGCTACTCTTCTTGATGTAGGAGTATTTTTATATCTTTCGTCCGACGACCGAGTCCAAATTTGTAGGGAAATATTCTCCTTCACAACAGTGGGCAACCAACGCATTTGATGTATTAATTAGTCCGATAAAATCCTGAAGGACGAAACTCGTCACAAGTAACCATTTTTTCACTTTGTTATACAATTGTCATCTTTGTCATACAATTTCCCCAATACTGTTCTTGAGATATATATATTATATCCTTACTCTGTCCTGGACATTGAGTTCTACCTGGATTCTTCCTCTTGGAATTTTTATTCTAAAAATATACATGTATGGGTATTTATATATTTTGCATATGTATGTATATTTACCACTAATATTATATATATTTATCAAGGAAGAGCTTATAGTAGTTCCAACGAGAGAAAAATGTGTATATTAAAAAAAAGAGAGAAACCGCAAATATTATGCTTTATTTTCCATAATTTTGCTACACGCGTTTCCGGTCTCGCGACCGTCAAAGGCAAAGGGTGGAGATTTCCACATATTATTAAAAATAATTAATTTTTTCCTTTTATGTTTTTCGATGTTAAATATTCTTGATATGAGACATTCTCTTTGTGTGTGTGTGTGTGTGTGTGTGTGTGTGTGTGTGTGTGTGTGTGTGTGTGTGTGTGTGTGTGTGTGTGTTAGTGACCCAAATGTCTTTGGTGAACTGGCTAGATGACGGTCGCGAGACCGGAAACTCGTGTAGCAAAATTATGGAAAATAAAGCAGAATATTCTTTTTAAAATCCACATTACAACAAAAAAATCTTTGCGGTTTCTCTCTTCCTTTTAATATATATATATATATATATATATATATATATATATATATATATATATATATATATACAGGGTGTTTCAAAAATTTGATATCCTTTGAGATGTAAATATCACAGAAAGTACATGATTAAGGCAAATGAAATTAAAAAGTATTAATGTTGAAGATCATAAGATTTATTCTTCCAAATCTGAATGAGAAATTCAAAAGCATGTGGATTATGTGAACGATTTCACAAATGTAAAGTTTGTGGTCGTCCGGATCCTTTTGCTCTGCACAGACAGCCTTCCTCTTTGAACTTTTTTATGCCATCTCCAAATCAGCATTCCTGTTGGTGACTTTCTAGAGAACTCTCTCATAAATGCACGCTGCACAGTCTTGTTTGACTGTGTTCTAGCAAACTCCAACACACAAAACGCCTTTTCTCTTCTAGTAAATAGCATTTTTATACCTGTAAAGAAAAAGATTAAAGATTAAAGAACATAAAAATACAAATAAGAAAAACACAAAAACATAAAGACATAAAAACATAAAACAAACATTAAACATAAAGATGCTATTAAAATTTGAAGTCATTTGAAGGAGATCTAACAAAGTTATTAGATTGCGAAATGATATCAAATTTTTTGAAATACCCTATGATATTATGCATATCACTGACTGCAAATTTTTTATTCCTATTTTTCTTTCAGTCTGTTAACTCCCAAGACTGTAATGACAACGTCACACAAAACACAGAAAGACCGTGTCGCTTCGACATGAGTCAACTGGGAAACGTTTGTGTGAAAAAGCGGAAGTTTGGCTTCGATGACTGTCGACTATGTCTCGCGTTGACACTGGAGAAAGTAGTCGGTTGGCAACCAATTGCTTACGAAAACGAATCGGTTCCTATGGAGATCAGGGATCGATATGATAATAACGCAGTAACTGTTTCGTGTCACGGCCTACAACCAGCCGATGACGAAAATATAGGACCTGTTGCTTATTACCCACCGGAGGGCTTCCACTTCAAGTATTTTCCTTATCAGGAGCAGGAAGGCTACAATACACCGCTGGTAATGATCCATTTTAAGAATCCCAGTAAATTTGTTAACATTGTCGTTGAATGCAAAGCTTGGGCCAAAAACATTGTACACGCTGAAAACGAAGGGATAGTAACATTTAAAATGTACTTGGAGTGAAACAAAGAAGAAAAATATATATATATATCTCATATACTAAATACTAATCTATTCGAACAAGTGTCTACAACTTAGTTGTTAGTCACAACATTTCAGCCGTTGTAATTTTTCCAGACCTCTTCAGGAGAAAATGTCGATCCGAACCCTTTATTCAATCTATAGGTTTAGATATTCTCATTATGAAAAGTTCGGTTGGAAATGCCCTGGTCATCAAATTTGAAAAATATTTGAAGACGGCCCAAGAATAAAAAGGCCTAACAAGGTGAAAACACAAATCTGAATAGATCAGTATATAATAATTATTACCTATCTCAGAAATCCTTGTTATTTAACCATCTTAACTGAGTTTACAGTCTCTTTTTAAAAAATTGATTTAAGGTAGATCCTACCACTACGTACGGAAAATTATGTTTAACTATCCGTAAATTCTGTGGAAAATTATCACATGAGTAATGTATAGTTTTTAAACACCCGATTTTAAATATTAAATATTTAAAATATTATAGATATATCAATGATATATCATTTAATTTTCTTTTTATACGTTGTTTCTGGTGTTTTTCTTATTTTTATATGATAAAAAGTTTTAAAAAATAGGGGTTTTTTGTTGTTTTTTAACCGAATAAAAGGGTGAATGTAAAAAATAATCTTTGTTGTTTATCGCATGTAACATTTAGCAGGCATTAAAACTTGGACACGCATGCGTCAATAAACCTATCAGCGGCCATAAATCCTTTTCAGCTTTTGGGCATGCGTACAAAGTAAAATCGAGATCGGGTTATGACGCAAATTTTAGCTAATTTTACCGTCCTATCTCGATCTCAGCTCGAAGAAAAAGATTTACAGCATGCATTCGCCCAGTTTTTTTTTGTGGGGGGATGCAGGACAACTCAACACCTCCGAGTGGACGCCGGGACAATTCAGGATCCAGACAACTCAGCACGAGAAAAGCATAACTTTTTTTAATAACCGAATAAAAGTAATTTATTATGGATTAAAACCTTGATTAGTGGATATTTTTACTTTATTAAAAAATAAATTTCATTCTGATTCACTTTATTAAAAAATAATTTTAAAAAACATTCATTAATTAAGGTTTTAATCCTTAATAAATTACCTTTATTTGGTTATAAAAAATGTTGTTTTTCTGTTTCTGTCTATATTTCTGAGATAAGGTATTATATACATTATTTGGATTATTGTCCTCATCTTTGTCGCCATATTTATTAGAAAGTTTCGGCCGTTGTACGCTCCGGCCTTCTTCAGGTGGTTGGAATGTCGAACTGAACCCTTTATTTCGCTCATTGGACTAGACTATTCTAGTTCCACGTGCCATGTCTAATGGATGTCAGTTATCAGTTATCTCCTGTTAATTTTCGCTCTGAAAGTTCTCCACTCACACTCTTTGGATCCTGTCACTGGATCTAACCAACGACTTTATTCACTGTGCCATGTGTCCTTGAGTCAGCTGTGTATGAATTTCTGGGTATTATAAACCTAATGTCATCAGCAACCATTTTTACCAGTGCTCATATTACAATTTTTTGCTGTTATCATTGCTGATTTTACCAGAGCTCATATTGCAACTTTGTTGTTATTATCGCTTATCTCTGGCACTCCTTATTATTGGTTCCCATATTGTATTTATTTCTATGCTTGGTCGGCTCAGGAGATTTTTGTGATTTTTTATAACGGCCGAAACGTTGTAATAAATATGGTGACAAAGATGAGGACAATAGTCTGAATAATGTAAATATTGTTTTTCTGTTGCTGAGTTTTCTCGATCCTAAGTTGTCTCAGTCCTGACTTGCCCCCGTGCTCAATCAGAAGCATTGAGTTATCCCTTCCCAGTTTCTTTTTACGCATGCCCAAAATGTGAAAAGGGGTTACTGCTGCTAAAAGTTTTATTGGCGCATGCGTGTTTACCTAAAAGTTTTAATATCTGTTACAAGCCATAGAGGCAAAATGAGGAAGCTATATTGATGTAAAATTACAACCTATTTGCAGAACTACTTAAGTCATTTCTTATTACTGTAGAATTAAACAATTTAAAGGGCGCGTATCAGAATTTGAAAAAAAAATATAGAGAAATTACATTATATGGATGGAAATTCAATATGGATTCTGGCGAGAAAAAGTTTTAGCACTACACGTTGATTTAAAACTGGATATCAATAACCCTATAAATAGTTTGGTGATCACAGGTGCCATTTTCCTTGATTTAATTTGTCGATTCATTTTTATAAATTGACAAATGATTGGACTCAACAAATTCTAATATAAAACCACATTCATTGACAGAACAAAGAAACAACTTAACCAGACCATCGTTCAAGCCTTGATGATCTGGAAAGGCAGATTAGGCTAGTGTGGAGCCTGTAGCATATGTTATAAATAAATTTTAAAAAATAAGCATAAATATTAAATCACAAATATTTACTGTCTGTGTATATTTCTGAGATGAGGTATTGTAACTATTTACAGTATTTATATTGTTCGAACTGTTGTCCTCATCTTTATTGTCATATTCACGACGTTTCAGTCGTTGTACGCTCCGGCCTTCTTCAGGTGATATACGTTGGAATTTAGAACCAAATCATTTATTTAGTCCACTGGTACTAGATTGTTTCAGTTCCACGCGCCATACCCTGTCTGGATATCTCAGTTTCAGTTAATTCCCTTAAGACAGACGGCCCAGTGGATAAAAGCGTTGGTTGAAATAATCCAGTGATATGAACCAAAAGAACTGTGAGTTCAATACCTGGCCACGGCAGAGTTGAACAAAAACTTGGAGAGTTAAGTTACTAAAGAGAATTAACTGAAACTGAGATATCCAGAAAAAGGCATGACACGTGAAACTAGAAGAATCTACCCTCATGGACAAAATAATGGGCTCGGTTAGAAATTCCAACATATATCACCTGAAGAAGGCCGGAGCGTACAAAAGCCGAAACGTCATAAATATGACAATAAATATGAGGAGAGCAGTCCGAACAATGTAAATAATGTAAATAAGTATTTACTGTTTTTATAAGCTCTATCAGTAGGCTAGCAAATAGTTTGACGTTGTTGTATATGGCGAACGAATTTTTTTTTTCTTCGTATGAATTTCGAATACCTCGTCGCTAAGTGTTGTAGAGTAGTTTCACAGTGGAGGCTTGTATTTCACTAAGTCGGTCCTAAAATAGGTTCGACGTACAAAACGTTAGGAACTTGATATAATAGGTAATGACGCAGAGAAATCTAGTGGTGGTCGCTGATACCTTTAGTATCCGACTAACGGTCGTCCGACATCGACTGACTGACCAACTCACTAAGCCACTCAGCGACTGCTACTACACCTACTTATTATAGGTGGGAGAGTCTATTAACTACAGAATAGGTGTGTTCCACTATAACAGACGTCTATCCAACATTTTTGTGTAGAAAGACTGACTAGATTTCTCTACACTTTTTATTGAAACGTGGACTTGTCGATCCGCTACGAGGGGCATGTCTGCTCGTGAAAGAGTGGGGAAAAAACGGGTCGCAAAGGCGTAGTGCTTTTCAGTCATATACTCGTTGCATTGAACTAATGTATTCTCAATCCGTGTTATCATGAGATTAAACCGTTCTTCATTCAACTTTTTGTTTACAGTATTTTCTTTGCAGCAACTATGGGCGTTATATAAACTCTATAACAAGCATAATAAATATAGAAACATATAAAGCAAATGAGTCTAACGTGGTATTTGAGTAGATTTAACGGCTTCGATATAATGTTATTTGAACTGATCAAGAATTAAAGATGCAGATCAGTCTATATATATATATTAACATTCTTCTAATATGTGCCGTGTCCCTGCAGGACGTTGGCGATCATAGCTCTCCATAATTTCCTTTGCAACAAACTCTGCTTAAATTTTTAATTGCTTGAGATTGCAGAACGGTGACTAGGAGGTATTACTAATTGGATGATAATTATTAAACTTACCATGGTTAAGAAAAAAAGAAAAAAAAGAAGTGGGGTATGTTTTAAAATAATAAAACATAATTTTTTAACATTTCCAAGAAGAATCGAAAACATAATTAACTAGAAAAGATTCAGTAAATTTGAGTATGACCATTGTTCTCAACCCTATCCACTTCCTGACGATAAGAAGAAGGCATGATTAATGTACTTACCGAATTTCTTCGCTCCTGAGAAATTAGATTCGATAGTTTGTTTACATTATATTATCTGTCCAAAATATGTGTGTCCTTAAAAATTATTCTAGACAGAGAAGAATTTTGAAATTAAATTCGAAGGCGTGTTTACATTATCCTATCTGTTCAAAACATGTGTGATCACAGAAAAGAATGATTATTCTAGACAAAAACAAAACATCTTTTTGGGGGATTTGTTTATATTGATCATCCAAGAACACAATTCATCTTTACAAGAAGATATCTAGAAAAATTTTAAACAAAAAGGTATCATATGTTTTTAACAAAATCCACCAAGATTAAGACGAAGAAATCAATGTCATTTGAGGTGGGGGAGAAGTCGTCCCTATAAACGAGAACTCCCTAGGCCGAAACATACACAGACGGGAAATCGACCTACAAGGTGCCGTGAGTCACGAGAAACACGCCTGCATTTTCGATGGCCGGCGCAAAGAATTGTTCCCCTATTTTATAACAATTACTGCTAAATTACCAAGTCACCGGCCGGCAAGTAGATAGCTTAGTCCTTCAGAAGATAATAGAGACATTTTATTCACCAGTTTTTCTTTATATTCAATAAATCTGTTGTTAGAGTTATCAACAGTGTTGTTAATTTTATTGAAAGATTTTTTATTCCAGCCTGATT